TGTACTTAATAACATATAATAGAAAAACCCAATGAAAATTACTAACTATTAAGAGGAAGATCTATAAACCGTAACAGAAGCCAATACGCATGAGCAACCAACCATTAAAATAATTGAAAAAACTACACTTTACTTTGTTTTATTTGAAGTTTGTGCGCTCTTAATCTATAATTACAAAATTGTGCATTAAGTATTTTCTGTTAGCTACTATATAAGGATTTTTTTTATTTTGAATGACCTCTTTTTTTCTTTTTTTTTTGGTTAATACAAATCCTTATTTCTAAGGCCGTCTACACCCAATGTGTGAATACGAAAATTTGTGACATAGGAAATCATATTCTTAACAATCCAATGTGTTTTTGACATTTCAAGGGGCACTGCTGCCTCGTCTGCTTCAATTGCCTGTCAATGGGGGCAGCCACCTGGCTTAAATTAAATCAACTTCCATGCACGTCCCAATCATCCTTGCACCACGCATAACCACGTGCTTTGAAATATCTTTTCAAAAATGAGACTGGGAATTCTAGTTATTTACACACTCTTCCACAGCCAATCTTTGTACAACATCTTTTATTTTTTGGGGGCCGGTTGCCAGATAATCTTGGACAACCAGGATAGTACTGGTACTGTTGGTAGTAGACTAGATACTATAAATGGTACAATTTATTTATGTTAATATTAAAAAAAAAAATTGATGTTAATTGAATTCAATACTTTTGGCGGAAGAATATAACTCCCTCTCTTTTTAACTCTTTTTTGCACTTTCCATGGCAGGAATCACTAAAAGCTCGATACTAAACAGGGGCAAAGCCGCAGGTCATGCTCACCCTTCACATCTTCACATTACCTGATTCTATCTTTTCCTTCCTCTCTTTTTTTTCCCTTTTTTTTTAAGTATTTTTTATTTTTTAAATTCAAGGAACAACATTATAACGTCAAATGCCATATGGAAAAAAGTTGGGAGAATTGTCTATGTTACTTTTCTCTTCTTTCTTGTCTGGTTCCAATTTTCTTTCTGCATAGATATTCCTTCTTCTATCCTCATTTTGAAAAATTATTATGAGAACATCAGAATTCAAAAGACAGAAATTCAAATGAACAGATCATGGTTTTCCTATCCTTAAGAATGAGAAATGGAAATAATAAATGAATTTGTTAATGGGGAAGAAAAATGAAGCACAAACATTAATTATTTCAGCACCCCGCAGGTCATTAGTAAATAAGTGTGTGCCCAGGCACCCGTTGAAGCACATTTCAATCCCACACCAACCAAACAAGGGGGCTTATTAGGAATAATGAAAGTATGAAAAACTAGTTTAAATTCCACACGTCTGACTTGCAACAGTTACAAAAATATTTATAGTTATAGTGCATTCAGTTATGATCCAGCTAGCTTTAGAAGCACTCTATGCCCCATACAACCCTGTGTATGCTTAACAAAGGGATACAACCAAACACCCACTTAATTTACACATTACCTTAATGCTTCCCCTGTTCACCACCAAAGAGAATAGAAAAAACAAATGTAGACAGCCAAAAAATATAATCCATATTCAACCCACTTTTTAGAATCAAGGAATTAGGTACTTGTAATTTTCAAACCCAACTACAAGATCCTTCCACTCATAATGAATGGACCAGAGAAAGTTAAAATAGACTTCAATGGATTCCCAATTTCACAAACAATAATAAGAAATGAAAGATAAGCAGAGACTTCATTAGTTCATTTCCAAAATAATACTATCTCTTAAACATGATAAAAACTAGAGATGCCAGAAATGAGCAAAATGTAAAATCTCTCTTAAGGCAAAACTCTGCAACAGAACAGAAGCTCTGTGAAACAGAGTATCCCTTGGATGGCTCTCTGATAGCACGGGAAAAACCCAAAGGAGACTCTTGCTACACAAAATAAGGCTCATTCTGCAAATGCATCTCTTCCTCTCTCAACAAACAAATAAATTAAACTCAACACCGAAAAAGAAAAACAACTCTCACAGGAACTCATGTTATGAGCCCTGACATCTGTTCTTTGCTATGATAATTTAAACTCAGATGAGTAATAATATGGAATTGACTGATTCATAACTGCAAAACTTATGGGCTACCAAAATTGAGGCCGGCACCATCAACAAGGAACTCGTCAGGGTTGAAATCATCATCGGGTAGCTCACTGGGGTCATCACCCTGTATTCCAAATAGGTGGTGTTCAATTGCGCGGACGAAATCATCATCAGACTCTGCACCCAAGTTGAGGTCTTCCTCAACTGCACTAGACACCAATGGCTCATCAACAAAGCAGAAATCAGGAATAGAGAGACCCACAAAGTTATAACCTTCTGTGATCCAATCACGGGTGTCATCAATGTTGGAAACATAAGCAGATGCAGAGGTATCCAATTCAAGGATGGATACAGGGGAAGCGTAGTAGAACATACTCTCGGACTCCTCAGCAGTATAGGAGCCAGAAATGTTCTGGGAAGCAGCAGCTGAAGAGGAAATGTTGCTCGTTTTATCAGAAGCAGCAGCGACGGCCAGATCATATTCAAGCTTCTTAGCATTGTAAGCGTTGGTTGCTTCTTCAAGGGTATTATAGGTACCCAACCAAGTTCTCTTCTTGGTTATTGGGTGCCTGATCTCAGCAGCCCATTTGCCCCATTTCCTTTGACGAATACCAACAGGTTTCTTCACTTTAGTCGGTTTGGGTGTGTCATCAGGGGTTTTAGCCAAAACCCCCTTTCCATTTGCGCCAGGCTTGGAGTTGCTGTATTGAGAGGAACTCCCAGATTGTAGAGACTTTGCCTGAGACAGAGCAAGGAAAGGAAGCTTGACCTCACGAATGACACGCTTCCTCTTCTGGCCCTTCTCAGCACGGGGTCTCACCTCGCACTCGTCTTCACTTGAAGATGAGTCAGTCGCATAAGGATCATGGAATATAACACGGACTTTCCTGGTCATTTTGGAGTCTTCACTCAAAATGGATCTGATTTTCTGGTTTCTATTCAAGGATGTCTTCACAGGCAAAGACATCTTCACAGAAAAAAGGTTAAAAACTTGGCAAAATCCCCCCTCAAAACTACCCGGAAAATTGTTTCAAGGAGGGAAAACAAAGTACCAGGGCAAAAAGGAGAATGAAAAACTGCTGATTATCAAAGATTTGTCAAGTATGAGCCCCTATAAGAAACAAGAAAAGATAGAAAAACCGTTGGATTACGTGAAAACACCCAAAACACTCCACTCCAGAACAAGTCCTGCAAACGAAATCAAACAATACAAAAGTCAAGAAAAAGCAGCATAGAAAACAGAGACTACCAGATGAGTTCACCACAGATTCATGACAGAAACCAGTAAAACCCCATATGCCAAAAGGACAACATGATAACATCCCAGAGTTTCACAACAGAAATCCCTAAAACCCCAAATACCAAACATGGGTTTTATTAAAAAAAACACACACAAAACAAATTAGCCAAACAAGAGTTTTCCCACGTACCGTTTTGGTCTCAAACGCATCGAAACAGACGGGAACACCAGATTCAACCCCTGCTCGTAGAGGCAGAGAATCGCACAGTAGAGAGCAACCAGAGCACAGAGCAATCGGGAATAGATGGCAGAAGAAGAAGAAAAGCAGAGCCTCAACGGAGCCCCAATCAAAGCCAAACCAAAACCAGCCGACATAAATCCACTCCAAAACCTCCCTAAACTCTTAAACCACCACCGGCTCAAAACCCACCAGAGACACACACACCTCGCTCCTAGTGGCTCCCTTGACCAGTGTAAAAGGCCAAATATCGTGCGAGACACTGCAAGATATAGCAGCCGAACCCAGAAAAAGGGATCACAAAATCTATGGCTCTCATTTTGCCACGGAATCAATGGTATTATCTGTTTCCGAAGTCATATAGATCAAAACAAGAGTAAAAAAGAGTGTAAAAAAAAAAAAACCGACTACGATGTTATAACCCGGCACAAGTCTCAAAAACAACACCACATAAAAAAATAAAAATTACTCCTATGTTTTTTTTTTTTGGTAAAGTTTTTTACATTAATTACTCATATGTTTTTTATTCATTGGAAGACACAAAATAATTGAAAAAAAAATAGAGATACATAACACCAATAAAAAATAAAAATAAAAAGAACACTAACTGTTAGTTGGTTGATGGTTTTCTGTTGCCTTATTTTATCTTTTATTCTATTCTTCTACGACTCAGCCATTCGCCTTTCTCTAAGCAGTCAAAATCTGCATTTAAGGAAAAGAAGAGATTTCCAATTAATGGGATTTTTTATGTGTTTTTCTTAATATATGTTTTTATGTGTACGCAAAATAATAATAATAATAATTTTTAATATTAATTAATTTTAAGATGAAATTTAATTTTTATGTAATTAATTATCTATATAAAATAATGTATATGGTATTATTATTAATTTTTATATATTTAATATTAATTAATGTAAAAAAATATTATAATTATATCTTTAACATATGTTCTTACAATATAAGTTAAAAAATAATAATATTGTAATTAAAATAACATGTAAAATTATAAATTTATAATTATAATACAAAATTAAATAAATATAATGTAATATTAAATGATAAATGTATATAATTTATATTATAAGTGAAATTTTAAATTACAAATTAATTATATAATAATGTATTATATTATAAACTAATAATATTATATAATAATATATCTATAAACATTATTTTTTATTTTTCATTTTGAGGAATGTTAAAAAAATTTTACTCATGTTTAATGGAAATTTTTTTCTAATGTGCGGAAGAAAATTTGTATTATGAGGTGGCATCCATTTGCATGACCATACCTATCTCCTATGTCATACATATCATGCTTCCATCTCATATTGGAATCTTCGGGTCTGGTGAAAACGTAAGCTACGACCCAGGAGCGTGGTTACACAATTCAATATCAACGGTTGATGTTGTCTGGATATTCGGCATCGGAAGAGGTTGGTTGCACGCGCTGAAAAGAGTGATTTTATAGGTATTGTCAGTACATATCATCTAGAGCCTCGGCGCCGCGAACAATTGCTGTCGACGTTTTCATGGACTCACGTGATATATTAGGTCGGGTTAATTAATA